GGATAAAAATCCCAGTTCTGCTGTGAACAGCCTTAGCTGGCCACTGCTGCCCTGGTCACCGTCTCCTCCATAACCGGGCCTCACAGACCTCGCCCTGTTCAGGCCGGACCCTAGCTGCCCGGTGGAGAGCTCAGGGTCGGCCCACATAGGTGTGGCCTGGAAGCCTGTCAAGTGCGCCCACCAGCCTGGCTGTCACCATTTCTTCAGAGCCTGTAGCCTCCTGTCCCTTGGTATCCACTCATCCACTGGGACCACATGACCAGACAGGGCCAGCACCTACCTTCTCCAAGCCTCAGTTTATGCACAGACCTCAGGGCACACCAAGCACACAGTAGGTGCTTAACCCACATGGCTGCTTGCCCCATGGGCTCTGAGTTTTCCCCGTCTCTCTGTGGCTCCATCCCTGCAACTCCTGCCTCCCAGCCTTCTTAGTGGCTGTCCCTTGCGAAGGCAGCAGCCTGGGAATGTGGGTGGGGGCGCCCGGGGCAGCCCTGCCCCTCACGGCTGCCACTGCACAGAGGCCCCAGTGTGAGCTGCCCGGAGCCCTTCATGGGCCCAGACCCATGACTGGCCGTCTAAGAATGCTGACCATTATCCACCGCACAGAGCACAAAGGGGCGACGCGGGGGCTCAGCAGGCCAGGCGCCCACCATGGACACACGGGGGCTCTGGTCCTCTGACGGCAGCGTGGAGGTCAAGGATGTGCCCAGAGTCGGGGAAGGGCGTCCCTCACATGCAGGAATGACAACTATTTCCTCCAGTCCCATAGGGACAAGGACAAGAGAAGCCCCGGGCTGGCCCCACAGGCAGAGCTGCCACCCTCCCAAGACCGGCCTTGAAGGCCCAGGGGACAGCATTCAATGGGCAGAGGAGGGCCACTCCAGAATGTGGTCCAGGGCAAAACCTGCCCCATATCCACAGAGTCCAGTGGGGTCCCCAGGGAAGGAAGCGAGGTTCACTTCATGCCACCTATGTGCTGTGTGACCTCAGGTAAGCCTCTAGGCCTCTCTGAGCATCCGTGTTCATGAGAAGACAGGCAGGAGGGCTCACCTGGATCTCTTGTAGCAATCCACTTCAAGGCCCTTGCTGGTGCCCATCCCAGAGGATGCCTGCTCAGGGACAGCTGCTCTGAGGACAGACCTGGGAGGCCTCCTGGAGGGGACAGTGACCCCCATCTGAGGGACCACAAGGCTCCTCTCAGGAGTTCAGGGAGAGGAACCCTGGTTCCAGAGCCAGTAAAGTGAGTGATACCAGACAGGCAGGTGCTCTGACCCATGGTTGTTTCCTCCCTACTACAGCCATGTGAGTAGACTTACGCCCCTCTTCCAGAGCGAGGCTCAGAGAGGCAGTGCCGCTGTGCTCACCGGGTGGTTAGGAGCAGAGCCAGGCCTGGACCTTGGGGATCTGAACTCCAGGGCCGGGGCAGAGAGACACAGTGTCTAAGAATAGGTCTGGGATATTGGGTAAACCGTGCAGCTGCAAGCAAGAGGTGGCACCTCTCTGGTCCTGTGCCCTGTCTGTAACCCAGGGCTGATAACCCCCTTCTCGACAGGCTTCCAGGATGGAACAAGAGGGCAGAGCCCTGAGACACCCAGTGACGCCTGACTGGGGCACTGAGCTGCCTATGGACTTCTGTGTGTCAGTCGTGCTTCCTGCGAAGAAAACTCTCCAGCCAAGCCGAAGGGATGCAGGGCAGAGCCCCCTCCTCCCAGCGCAGCCCTGGCCCCACTGTTGTTTTTTCCAATTGAAGAAGAAAAACATTTCCTTCTCCGGCTCCTCTCACTCCTCCCCCTGCTCCCCTGCCCAGCTCTGCCCTGGGAAGCCAGAGGGAAAACAGGCAGGATGGGGTGGGGGGTGGGGGGGAACGACACTGACCACCAGGTGCCCAGGCAGGGAAATGCACTCTCTGGGCCACCATGTCCCCATCAGTGGAAGGACTGGGCTTTTCCCAACATTTCCCAAACATCAGGCATCATGGCATCACCTGTTTTATGACCATTTCCTTATTCATCTGTAACTCACTTGTTAAAGACTTCCAAAAGAAGCCTGACATCATTACAGTACATGGAAGCCAGTGCCACTTGCCCGCACCAGAAAGAAAATGCAAACATAAAGACAAGGCTCTCGACAAACCTGATGTCACTAGCCCTGAGCACGAGACCTTCTTTCTATTAAGAAGGGACAATGACAAATGTTACAAAGTCATTAAAGAAACGTCAACCCCAGACTGAGCCCTTCTCTCGATCTAATCAGGAGACACAAGCAGAGCGGAAAACAGCCTGAGTCACAGAGAGATTCCAAGTTGGCCACCGTTGTCCAGGACTGGGGCCTCTGGACAGCTAATTCAGAGTTGGTAGGAGTTGGGCCCCTAAGCTCCCTCCTAGATATCATCCATCTCTCCTTTGTTCCACCAAATGCCTTCTGGGAGGATGCCCGAGACTCATTTCCTCCTTCCTTCAGCCACCAGTTGCTGGCACCTCTATCCAGCCAGAGGGATCGGATTGGCTAGCTGCCACCAGCACCCACCCGGAGCTCATGGGTGGAGCCTAGGATCTGGATTCAAAGCTTCACCTTGCTGACGCCCCTCAGTTTCTCCATCTGTGAAACAGGCTCAATGACCCCCACCTTATCAGCTGGCTAGAAGGATGGCGTGAGGTGACCTTGGGCAGCGCTGGGCTCAGAATTTAGCCTTCAGTGGTCCCATCAGCTGTCATGGGACTCAAGACAGGATGTGGGGCTCTGGTCTTCTGTTGCAATCTCCCTCCTGCTCTGTCCTGGGCTCAGGCATGGGCTGTGGGATTACTCAATGCCAGAAGGGGAGAGAAACTGCTGCTGGCCGGCTGGTGCTTTCTGTTCTGTGAACTCTCCAAGAATTACAAGCTTCCTGGAGCAGAGGTGCTGTTATGATTGTCCTTACTTTACAGCTGAGGAAACAGGTTCAGAGAGGGCAAGGAACTACCCAGCACTTCCTACCTCCTGTTTATGGGAGAATATGTAGACTCTGGTGTCTAACCACACCCTCAGTGCCCCAAGTCCTCGCCCTGGGTGGGGACTGAGTTTCACCTTCAGCTTAGCAGAAGTCCAGGTGCCCAGAACGATCTGCAGTGTGCCGGTCTAAGCTAACAAGCCACAAAGCATTTTCCTCAAGGCTCAGTGGGGGGAGCTGCAGGATGCAGCAAGATGGGGAGATGAGCAGGAGACAGGAAGGAAGGAAGCAGGGGGAGCCAGGGACAGCTGGGTGGGGAACTAGCAGGGAGACAGAGATAGAGGCAGAGAGGAGAGACAGAAACACACAGAGAGACAGTGGAAGGGGAGGGGAGGATGGGGGGAGAGGAAGAGACAGAGTGAAACTTGGAGGAGCAAGGACACAGAGGAAAACAGATGGGGTGGGAAGGCTAGAGAAAGATAAGGGAAGGAGACTGAGATGGACAGGGGCTGAGGGTGGAGGGGGGGTCCCCCTGCCAGGCTCCTTGGTGGCCCCTTAGTGGTCACAACATGACTGGAGGTGGAGGCAGGTCTCCTGAGTCCCTGAGCCAGGGTAGTTGGGGGACCTCTAATTGACTGCCTGGCCATTCCCTGCAATCAGAGCCAGACCTGGCATGAAGAGGCTGGAAGGAGGCACGCACAGGACAGGAAGACGAAGGGGTGGTGGCCAGGGAAGTGTGGAGTGGCTGCCAATGTCACCCCTGTGGTCATAGAGAAATCCTGACCCTTCCTTCCTGCTGGGGTGGGGGACAAGCAGAGTGAGGGCCACCTGAAGGTCTGACATGAGACCCTGGTTCTAAGAGGCGAGACTGACAGACACTGTACCTGTGCCTTCAGTGGGCCTCGGTTTCCTTGTCTGTAAGGTAGAATAACAGTACCAAGTTCTGAGGGGACCCATCCAGGTACCAGATGCTGTGCACGGTCCCACCTGCTTCTGACCCCAGGGCCTACCTGCTCCTTTGGAGGTCAAAGGAGCCTGGTGCCTAGTGCTAGCTCCTGTTGGGGGGCTGCTCTTCCACAAAGTCTGGGAGGATCTTGGGTCCTTCTGAGCCCAGCCTGATTCAGAGCTGGGATGGGAGGCCAGCAGCCCACAGGGTTGCGTCTCCACACAAGCAGTTGTGGCCTATAGGGTCACTCAGGCTGTGCTCTAGGTGTTGGCCTGTCCAGCCCAACAGGACCGAAATATTTCATCTTTGGCTAGCTTCCTGGCTTAGCTGTCTGACCCCCAACCCTGACCCTCAATCCCTGCTGCTTGTAAACCCCTTTTATGGGCGGGCTGGGACTAGGCCTGAAGCCCGTGGTCTGGCTGGACTTCAGGGTGCTAGGGCCTGGACAGTGTCCTGGGAAAGACTGGGGTGCTGGGGGATGTAGGGAGGGACCGTGACCAGAAAGCGCACTGTGGACCGGGAGAGAAACAGAGGATCGGCGGCGCCGAGAGGGAGCCCAGCAGGAAAACGGAGAGGGACAGCGACTGGGAGAGGCCGGGGCCGGGACGACTGAGAGGGTGAGCGAAGTAGGAGAGAAGTAGCGGTGAAGGAGGAACCAGCGAAACGCCGCCCCGCTGGAGTTCGGCGTGGGGGACGGGACGGACGCACGGAGAGGGAGGAGAAAAGCCAGGCGCGAGCGACACTGGCCAAGCGGCCGAGAGCAAGCGGAGGCCGCGCCGGGGAGATCCCGGGGTCGCGGGGCGGCGACCACCGACAGCAAGCGCGGGCGGGGCGGAGCGGGGCGGGGCCCGGGCACACGGGAGGGGCCGGGAGGCGGGGCGTGGCCGGAGGGGGGTGGAGGGAGCCGGGGGCGTGGCCCGGGCCGCGAGGGCCGGTCCGTTGCGGAGCCGCCCCCGCCCCCGCCCCGCCCCGGGGCTGCGCCGCGCGGCTGAGCCGGGCCGGGGCGCCGGGGCCGGGGCGGCTGGCGCGGGCAGGAAGCGCCTCGCGGCCCGGGCCCGCCCCCGCCTCCTGCCGCCTCCGGGCTCCCGGCTCCGGCCGCGCCGCGCCCCATGCACTCGCCGCGCCGCGCAGCCCGCGCTCGCCTGGATGGCTCGTCGCGCCGCGGGCGGCGCACCCCTTAGCGCCCGGGCCGCCGCGGCCGCCCCCCTGCCGCCGCGCCCGCCCTCCGGGGCCCCGGCGTGCCCGCCGCTGCTACCGCTGCTGCTGCTCCTGGGGGCGGCGCGGGCCGGCGCCCTGGAGATCCAGCGCCGCTTCCCCTCGCCCACGCCCACCAACAACTTCGCCCTGGACGGCGCGGCGGGCACCGTGTACCTGGCGGCCGTCAACCGCCTGTACCAGCTGTCGGGCGCCAACCTGAGCCTGGAGGCCGAGGCGGCCGTGGGCCCGGTGGCGGACAGCCCGCTGTGTCACGCCCCGCAGCTCCCGCAGGCCTCGTGCGAGCACCCGCGGCGCCTCACCGACAACTACAACAAGATCCTGCAGCTGGACCCTGGCCAGGGCCTGGTGGTCGTGTGCGGGTCCATCTACCAGGGCTTCTGCCAGCTGCGGCGCCGGGGCAACATCTCGGCCGTGGCCGTGCACTTCCCGCCCGCCGCGCCGCCCGCCGAGCCCGTCACCGTGTTCCCCAGCATGCTGAACGTGGCCGCTAACCACCCGAACGCGTCCACCGTGGGGCTGGTGCTGCCGCCGGCCGCCGGCGCGGGGGCAGCCGCCTGCTCGTGGGCGCCACGTACACCGGCTACGGCAGCGCCTTCTTCCCGCGCAACCGCAGCCTGGAGGACCACCGCTTCGAGAACACGCCCGAGATCGCCATCCGCTCCCTGGACGCGCGCGGGGACCTGGCCAAGCTCTTCACCTTCGACCTCAACCCCTCCGACGACAACATCCTCAAGATCAAGCAGGGCGCCAAGGAGCAGCACAAGCTGGGCTTCGTGCGCGCCTTCCTGCACCCGGCCGCGCCGCCGCCCGGCGCTCAGACCTACGCGTACCTGGCGCTCAACAGCGAGGCGCGTGCGGGCGACAAGGAGAGCCAGGCGCGGAGCCTGCTGGCGCGCATCTGCCTGCCCCGCGGCGCCGGCGGCGACGCCAAGAAGCTCACCGAGTCCTACATCCAGCTGGGCTTGCAGTGCGCTGGCGGCGCGGGCCGCGGCGACCTCTACAGCCGCCTGGTTTCCGTCTTCCCCGCACGCGAACTGCTCTTCGCGGTCTTCGAGCGGCCCCAGGGCGCCCCCGCGGCCCGCGCCGCCCCGGCCGCGCTCTGCGCCTTCCGCTTCGCCGACGTGCAAGCCGCCATCCGCGCGGCGCGCACCGCCTGCTTCGTGGAGCCCGCACCCGACGTGGTGGCGGTGCTGGACAGCGTGGTGCAGGGCACCGGGCCCGCCTGCGAGCGCAAACGCAACATCCAGGTACGGCGGGGCGCGGGGCACTGCGGGGGGCTGCAGGGGGACCGGGCGAGTAACCCCGCGACTTGTGCGCCGAGCCAGCTACAGGTGTGAGCGAGCCCACACGTGCGTGTGCAGGGACTCAGGTGTGTACTCTGGGCGCAGGTGACTGTATGGGGATCCAGGTGTGCGCTTGGGGACGCAGGTGTCCACCGAGGGGCGATTACCGGCAACAGTGATGGCCCGGACGCGCACTTGCGGGAGCTCAAGAGCGTGCTGGGTTACAGGTGTGCGTACCTAAGTGGATCAGGAGGGGCCCAGGTTGCCAACGGTACCCAGGTGCTCCCTGAGAGAGCAAAGGTGCACGTACAGCCCAGGTGTGCACATGGGAACCACAGGTGTGTGGTGACCGCAGGTGTGTTCTGGGGCAACTGTGAGCTTATTGGAGTGATGATTCCATGTTGATAGGTGTATGCATGGGTGTGGCAGGCTTGCTGGAATCATGCCAGCGTGCACCACGGCCCTGTAGATTGGGGCGTGTGTGACAGACTTGGGTTGTACTGAGTTGGAGCTGCAAGAGTATAGATGTGCAAGAAGGCACATGTGTGGCAGGGGACAGTGGTATCTGGAGTCCAATAGATTTTCTGGGGAGGTTTCATGGTTGGCAAACAGATGTGTGCCTGTGGCTTTTATTCTCTCATTCAACAAACATGGACCACTTAGTAGGTAGCAGGCAGGGCAGACCCGGGGCAAACACAAACAATGGGGAGTACCTACTAAGGACATCATATGTCGTAGCTCCCTTAGTGCTCACAGCACCTTCTCTTGTCATCCCCATAGTACAGATGAAGAATCAGGCACAGAGAGGTTTAGTGACTTGCTCTGGATCACACAGCTGAAACTGGCAGAGATGGGAGTTTGAATCCAGACTATCTGGACTCAGCATCTCTCTGATGCTTTGCTGCCTTATAGACATGGAGTTCAGAGAGAGAGAGACGGAGAGAGAGGAGGGAGGTCGATGTGACACTGGGGTCAGGGAATGAGGAGGGGTGGGTCGTATGGAGCCTAGGTATCTGAGGCTTGGGGAGGCAGTGGCAAGAGAGCCATGTTAGGGGGTTGCTGTGTGTTGGCCTTGGGGGATGTAACAGGGACAGAGGGACTTTGTGGCGCCTAATGAGGAAGTCCACCGCGAGTGGTCACTTCTCCAACGATTTGGAAAGAGAGTCTGTGGTTTCCCATTTTCTCCCAGGGTCATGAGGCCCCAAGATAACACCCCACAATCCAAAATGCCAAACCCAACCTCCTGGTGACCTTGGAACCCCCCGGGCCCTGCCCCATCCCTTCTCCTGCTTCCTATGGTAGCTAGACTCTCCTGAGATTAACGCTGCCCAGCGATGGGGCTTTGAGAAAAAACCACATTCCTTCACAGCGCAGTGCCCTGCGCGCCCACCACCCCACCGGCCCCCTGAAAAGAAAGGTCGTGGTGGGTGAGGGGCATTCTGTCCTGGGAGCCACGCCACCGTGGGCAAGCGGAGTTCGTGCTGCTGGCTGTGAGCACTGGGAATGGGATGGCCACCATTCCCCCTTCCCAGAGGCACATCCCCAGGCTTGGCACTGGGGATCTGGAAGTGAAAGAAAGAACGAAGGCCCAGCAGGGCCAGCTCAGGCCTCCCTGGGCTGTCACTGCCCCTTGTGGGCCCCTTGCTGGGCCAGCCTTGGTCTGCGGGATGCCTCAGGCTGTGTCTGCCCTCCCCCTCTGGCAAGAACTGCCCTGGTTCCCACGGCCCTTCACCCCCTGGGCTGGGCAGTGACTCACCCTGCTTAAGGAGTCTGGGCTGTCCTTCCTACAGGGCAGAGCCTCAGCAGGGACACAGACCCAGGGACAGGATGGCCAAGACCAACTCCCTCTTCCCAAAGACCATGCAGATTCCTGGTGGGGGAGGCCCTTGTAGGCCTGTCTCCCTGGGCTCCACACCCCTCCCCTCCCTCCGGCTGGCGTGGGCACAGGTCACAAGATCCCCCAGATGTGCCCAAGGCTGCGGTCTGGCCTCCAGAAGGTGGAAGGGCACTTGAGGGTGCTTAGTCTTGCTCTGGAACTTCAACAGGGTTCACATTCTGCTCTGTCACTTCTCTGCTGTGTGACTTGGGCAGGTAGCATGACGTCTCTGAGCCTCAGTTTTGTGCTCTGTAGAGTGAGAGAAGGATAAACGCTCCTTATCACAAAAGGGCTGCTTTAGGACAAAGCAGGTGAGTTCATGTGAAGCATTGATGCCTGGTACACAACAAGTGCCTGACAGATACCAGCTGCTCTCTTGTCACCCTAGGGGATACTGTTGGTGACATGGCTCTGGACTTAGTCCTGGACGGCAGTGCTCTAACTTGGCTTGTTCTGCAAGCCCCCATCCTCTCCCACCTGCAGCCCCCATGGGAACAGTCCCTGGTGGTTTCTTGCCTTCTGCCCTCACGGATGGGATGGGGCAGCCAGCTGAACACAGATGTAAGGCCAGGCACCAAGAACACGGGGTGGGGTGTGCTGTGCCCTGAAGGGGGACCTGGGAAGGAGGCATTAAAGCCAAGGGAGTGGATAACCAGGAGGAAGCCCACAGGACAAGATGGGTCCAGGGAGAGGGAACGGCCTAAGAAGAGGGTAGAAAGGGTCGGTAGGCCATGTTGGAGGAATGGGGAGCCATGGAGGGTTCTAGCCAGAGGATATGATCTCAGCCTGTTCCTCTGTAGAATGGGTATGATAAGGAGGCCTCCTCCTGAAATTGTCCTGAGGATAAGTGAAAGAGCACATGTGACACTTTTAGCAGAGAGCCCAGCACAGGGCCTGGTGATGGCTGTGGGAGTTAATATTCTTTTAGAAAGGCTGTGTGGGTAGCCGGTGAGAAGGAGGGATGGTGGCACAGAGGTGGCTGGGAGACTGGGACCACCTTCCAGGCAGGAGAGCCCTCATCTCCTTGAAGACTTCTTGAGCACTTGCTCTGTGCCAGGCATGTGGTGGGCCTGGCATTACTTGTGACCTAGTCTGAGGCCAGGCCGGATGAAGGCTTGGTGGACCACCAGGTGCGGGGTACAGCCCCAGAGGTGGGGCTGGCATGAGAGGGGAAGAGATGAGAAAGTTGGTGCCTCTGGGGGACAAGATGGGTTTGGTCTGGGGGTCCTGTGTGGCACTGGCCTCTCCAGCACCTGGCAGGCCAAGCGAGACTGGGCGTGGGGACAGGACCCGCCTTCCCATGTGGTCCCTAGGAATGTTTGGGCTGCGAGTGGGGTGGCTCAGCCAGGCCTCTGGAAACTGCACCTCCCACCCCTGTTTCTGGGGTCTTTTGGTCATACTCTGTCCCCACTGCGGTGGCCTTTGGGGTTCCAGCTTCACATGTGGTGGGCTTTGGGCTCTGAGTGCCACCTCCAGGCCATGGATGATCAAAGGCTCCCCTTGGGAAGTGGGGTTGTAGGGGTGGGGACTGCCAAGAACAGACGGAGGTCAGAGGCAGCCATGCTCCATCCCTCTAGTTCTCGGAGGACCCCCAATTTGGTCCCTGGTTGCTTTGGCATACTTGGGGCTGCTGGAATGTTTTGAGAGATGAACTCAGAGAAGAAAGGAGCTTTGTTGGCATGATGGTGCATGCCTGTAATCCCAGCACTTGGACAAGAGTTCGAGGCCAGCCCGGGCTACATAGTGAGACCCTGCCTCAAAAAAAAAAAAGAAATTAGCCCCAATTGCATGTGGCTTGGATCTCTTTCCTCACAGCACATCCTGTTTGAGGGGAAAGCAAGTTGAGAAGTTGTTCGGGGAAACTGAGGCAGAGGGTCACCCAGCAAGATGTGGGCTGGGGGAGACTCTTTCCTGCCTCACTCTCTTCCACCTTTGAGTGGCCATAGTCACTGTACATTTAAATCACAAGGAAGCAACTGTGCCAGGGCTGCCTTTTCAAGGTGTCTTTTTATAGTGAAGGTGGAAAAAAGCCCTCAGGCAGTTCTGAGCTGGCACATGGTGGGTGGGTGTTATCGGGAAGGTATTTTCTGCACCAACCTCGGGGCTGAAATGCCAGGGGGGGGCGGAGCGAGAGCACTTCCAAGCCATGCTTTGTGCTTGGGTAGGGGCTTGGAGCACACAGAGGACCCCCCTGCCCCTTGGTGGGACTTAGAAGGAAGCTCGGCTGCCATGGCCTTCTGGCTTGGAAAGACAGGTAAAACTCGGTCCCCAGTCCTCCCACCCTGAGAGTGGCTCCCAGGCAGAGCGTCTGTCTGCCAACATGCTGTGTGACCCAAGTCCAGTCATTTGCTCTCTCTGGGTCCCTTACTTTCTCATTCTAAACACGGTCCGTGCCTCCCACTGCAGATGAAAACTTCACATGCAGGGCCCAGGAAACAGCAGGTGCAGGAATTAGAGGGAGAAAATCCCTCTGAGAACAGTGCCAGGAGCTTGGACAAGGGTGGGTCAGGCTCTTTGAATCAAACCAGGCTGTGGAGGGTTGTGGCAAGGGGGTGACTGTGCCTCTGTCCTCAGCAGCTCAGAGGCAGGAAGACAGGTGGAGAACTGGGGCAACTGGAAACCAGGATGGGTTGTAGAGGGCAGGTGGCTCCTGGGCTCCCGTTCGGGGTGCTGGGGATGGATCCCAGGGCTGGGTGCATGCTGGCCAAGCCTCTACCACTGAGCCGCACCCAGCCCTGCTCCCAGCTGCAACTCTGCACCAGCACATTTGACTTCACAGTCCAGTCAGGGAGATAGGGCTGTCACCTTGTTTACAGGTGGGGAAACTGAGGCCCAGTGACTGCTGGGTCCCCAGCCTGCTGGCTGGCTCTAGAGTCCCCACTGCCAGTTCCTGTGGTTGGTGGCACTGGGCCCAGGTGCTATGGCTCCCCTGGAGCTGGGTGAGGTCATTTGGTGGCCCTGCTGTGGGTCCCATGGAGGCTGGAGGCTGCTGCCACAGTGAGGCAGGTGGAGTGGGTGGGGGCAGCTGCAGAGGCCTGGCCACAAGTGTGGGACTGGGGAGATGTCCTCCTGAGGGTGAGGAGCAGGG